TATGTCTATGTATATGTATATGTATATGTATATGTATATGTATATGTATATGTATATGTATATGTATATGTATATGTATATGTATATGTATATGTATATGTATATGTATATGTATATGTATATGTATATGTATATGTATATGTATATGTATATGTATATGTATATGTATATGTATATGTATATGTATATGTATATGCATAGGCATAGGCATAGGCATAGGCATAGGCATACGCATACGCATACGCATATGCAATCTATGTTACCGCATTTCTAGACACTACTTATAATATATGGAATCGAGATTGCTTCATTTTTGAACAAGTTGTGAGGATTTCAAGACTACGGCTCCATTCTGTTCAACTTATTTTTTCTAATCTGATTTGATTTTTTGTAGTTCTGAGCTGATCTGATTGGATCTGATCTGATTGGATCTGGTCTGATTTGATAGGATCTGATCTGATATAATTAATTATGATTTGATTTAAAATTCAAATCAATAATTTGATTTGACTTTATAATAACGTTTGAAAATTGTAATGATAATTCATATTATAATATAATCAATATTTTTTATGATTTTTTTTAATCAAACAAAATTACTTAATTCATATATTAGAATAATCATTCATATTATAATGTAATAATATTTTTTATTTTATGATTATTATTTTGTGAAATTAGAATATTAATTTAGTATTTTAATAATTAGTTCATATATACATTAGAATAAATATTTAATTTATATATACATTAAAAAATAATTAAATTTAGATAATCATAATATAGAAGAGATTGTATTTTTATTAAAATATCTCATCCTTATAAAAGATCAAAACTTTACAAACTCAAATTACAAGTAGCAATAAAAATGTATTTTAAAAGTAGAATTAGATTGACATTGTCAATGCATTTTAAAAATAATTTTTACGACATCTAATAATTAAGGATTACTTTCTCAGTTTTCTATTTAACTTGTTTCTAAAGTTTATTTTTTTTTATTTTTAAGAATAATAATAATAATAAGTTTCAAAATAATAATAATAATAATAATTTTTGATTGGATCTGGTCTGATCTGATTGGATCCGATCTCGATCTGATCTGATCTGATTCGATCTGGTCTAATATGATCTGATCTGATCTGATTTTAATAAGAATAAGAAAAAATAAAAAAAAATAAGTTGAACGGAACGGGGCCTAAATGGATTTATCCTTAACCATCAACCCCATTTTTGATGGCCTACTCGATGACATTATCAAGCATAAGAATGTAGGTGCTATTCCTGTGTTTGATGGTGTATTTGATTTGGAATTGCATTGGAATGTAGTGAGGTATTACCAACATGTAAAAGGCTAGTCTGTAAGATATTGGATTATGTGTCCAATGAGATTGCACATACACAATGCAATCATGTGTATTTTGCTTGGCTTTGAGTTTATGTCGTTAGTCATAAGGTGCATGCCTATAGACATAAGTAAGATATTGTCGAGAATGGTTGAGTCATGACTCTTAAGTATGTTATAACATCTACCCATAGTAGGGTCTAATTTTTTTTATTGTCATTTGTTTCTAATTGATTTCAAACTATTTTTTGACATTGCTGCAACTTCTCGAGCACAATGGCATGGTTCTTTTTTGTTAGGTATTTCTCCTTATTAGTAAGAAATATTTTTTCTTGTTTTTCTATTTGTGTTGTTGGGTAGTGTATGATAAAAGTGGGATGGTATGATGGTAGGTTTGTTTGCATGTTTATGCAAGTATATTTGATACTTGAGTTGTGATTGCAATATAACTTTCAACAAATAGTTATATTGTTATGAAGGAACAATATGGGAAAGACAATGTAAATGATACTAAATTTTAGTAACTGGTGATTGCAATCTAATTTTGAATAAAGACAATCAAAGTTGCAATCCGATTTCATAATATATTAAAGATTGATATCTCCCTTACCTTACATGGGAGAAAGTCATGAACTGTGTTGATTACGAAAAATAAATTAACTAATGGGAGATCATAGTCTTTACTTGATGCAAAATCAGGTTGCAACTTTCATTGTCTTGGTTCAAAATTAGATTGAAATCACAACTCATAAATATTTAGTATCATTTATATTATGTTTTTCATTCAATTCCTCACGAAATTATATTTCAACTTGAACTATTATTTTAAAGTTAGTTTGCAATCTAAACTCATATATACTTAGTACTCCATTCGTCCCACTCTCTTTGTCTACTTTGGTCTTTGGTTTTGGCACAAATACCAAGGAGTGGGACAAGAGAAAGGAACTTGTCTAAAATGCCCTTCTAGGCAATGTTAAGAAGAAAGGAGGCTACGGTAGAAGAAGGCAAGTGGAGGCATAAAAGCAAATGTCACATCTACTTTTACTGTTGAATGACTTGAATTTGTACTCTTTACCAATTTTTAAGCCATGCATTTTTCTTTACAACTCAATTAAACTATTGGCCAATTGTTAATCAATAACACAAATCAAGTGAAAGTATTGTTTTTGAAGGAATCTTCCTTAGATCTGATGCAATCTAGATCCAAAAATAGAAAAACAAAGTGCAAATACGGGCACAAAAAGATGAGAAAAACACCGATCTACTGTCTTCATCAACTCAATCGAACCATGACAATATGAGGCTATCTTTGACAACGAATAACTTAAATCTGTCGCTATTGCATCATGGTTGCTTGGTGATCCATTGTTTTTGTATTTGAAATTGCCCGATGACAGACCTGTGACGGGAAAAGCTTAGATTTACTGTTGCTACACCTGTGCTTGCCGAAGGATAGATCTGCAACCGAGAAAAGTGTGGATCTATCACCATCTTCATCAAATCCAAAGTCTGGATTCATCCGTAACTCAAAGAGTAACCTTCATTGGACATGTTGGTGGCGGTAGAAAAATACGAATGTTGAAGGATTCTTGAAAGAATTGAATAATTGGAACAGGAAGGAAGAAGAAAATGGGATGAAGAGATTGTGGCGTGGAGTAGTTATGGTAAGGTCCCAGGGAGAATGAGAAAGAGAAAAGGGATATGTAATTGATGGCAAAAGGGTAACTATATCATTTTTAATTTTCCTTAAAAGGAAAGTGGACGAATACACTAGGACATCCCAAAAGGGAAAAGTGGACGAAAACACTGGGACGGTGGGAGTATCATTTAAATTGCGCATCAACACAATCTTATATTATGCGAACACACCTTCATATCGTCCCCACTTATACCCAATAACACAAACATCAAAAGAATAGGGAGGAGAAGATTTCTTACTTGTCATGATTCATCATTTGAAATACCTAACAAAATTGAACCATATTCTTGTCATCGAAAAGTTACACCATTGTCCTAAATAGTTTGAAATTAATTTCCAACTAATAATGATTTTTTTTAAACATTATAACAAGCAGATGTTATAACTTACTTGAGAGTCATGACTTCGTTGTTACAAACAATATATTGTTTATGTCTATAGGCATGTACCATATGACTGAAGAGATAAGCTACAAAGCCAAACAAAACACACATCACCACATTGTGAATGTGTGATCTCGTGGTACACGTTTAAACCAATATTTTATACACTAATTTTTTTTGTGGAAATGCCTCAATGCTTTTTCGTGCAATTTCAAATTTAAAATACCATCAAATCCATAATTGGAAGCATCATTGTCACGGCTAACAATTTGAGAGCCATGAACAATGAGGTTGATATTCTAGATATATTCTTTGTTCTTGAATCTTTACAATTTGTTTAAAATTGTAGTGATCTCCATTTCATATATTGTAAACTGTGTTTAACACGGGAATAACATTGACTTTGTTGTAAAACAATGGTTCTTAATAATGAAATGAAAAAATCAACTTTAGACACATGGAAATTAAAATGTGTAAATGCAAAGTAATATTAATGATACTTTAACTTAGGGAATTGTGCCACATAAGAAACTTCTGCTATTGTTGGTTTAGTGAGCAAATATTGAACTAATGACAAGAAATCTCCTAGTAATGGAGGTCTAGTCCTGCCACTGGTTCATCAGGAGCTCTCTCGATGAAACAAATGAGGGTCACAATATAATAGTTAGATAGCATTTTCTTAAGTGATATTCAAGTGAAATTTAGTATTTTGTTGGAAAACTATATGAAATCTATTTGTTTCAACTATAGACCTATCACCTTCAAGAACTTCAATAGACTATTAAACATCCTAGAGGTCTTGCTTAGAGGCACATCACTTTATACATTTTTTGACAGATGGACCTATCACGAAAAAAAATGAAAAAGTCTAATACTTTTATTTGCTGTTATTTGCACCTACAATCATCTTAGCCTATATATATGTTGTTAGGGAGGACTAGTGTACACATTACATATTTGAGCATGGCTTACTCTCTGTAATTTGTGTAACAAACAGAAAAGAGCAATCATGCAAACATAATAGGATACAGTTTGAAAGACAAATAGGATCAATGCTATTGAGTATGTTTAAATGTGATATACATTATTTATTATGATTACAAATCATGGCATAATCTCTTCCTGCTTTTGCAGTGATAATTAAGTACTAACTAGTAAGCTTACATGACTAACATCCCAACTAGGAGTTAAATTATTTAGCAATTTTTATGTACATGTAAAATAATATTCTAGAAATATGTTAAACTATTTTTTGTTAGATAGAGAAAAATGTTCATAGGCTAATTGCGAAAGTAATAGTATCTAAAAGTTTTGATTTGGATAAAATGAATATATATTTTTTTATTTTCGAATATCTATTAGGTTATTTTATTTAATTCAAAGAAAATATATTATTAATTAGGTTGTTTTTTAACATCTCTGACATATCATCTAAGCAGTTTAATCTTAACAAAACAAGTTCTCCTATTTTCTAGTGGTAGTTTGATCTGTCATTTTTAGTTCCCCAGAAGAAGTTGCTAAATCTTCTATAAATACCATTAATGATAGAAATAGGAAGAGTGTGGACAGCCAAGATGTGCAATGGTATTGCTGATAACGCATGCTTAATCCGGATCAGTCTACCCATAGTGTTTAATGTTTAACTAAACCAGCTATGAATGTAGTAATCGAAATGTTTAAGCAAGTCTTTGCAGTCTTCCTTTTTCAATTTACCTTTACAGATTGGTGCCCCCAGGTATTCGAACTGTGCTGCATATTCAGAATCTCTTTCATCTTACTAATGTCAGAATTGGAACACTTTTTGCAATGTTGGGAAGCAATGTGTCTTCCATATGATGAAGGGGGTTTGGGACTTAGAAGCTTAAGAGATCTTCAAGAGGCATATTCTATCAAACTTTGGTGGAACTTCTATATGGGGGAAAGCCATGAGGAACAATGTTATACGGAGTAATCATTTAAAACCTTGTAAAGCCCAGCCATTAGTTTCTTTATCAAGACTCATAGTTGGTTATAAATTTGACTTTTCATACACTAAGCTCCTTTATAGGACTTTTGAAAGCTTATTTTATAGAGTGCACTCATTTTCTTTTGACATTTCGATACATAATCGGCTAGCTCCCTGATCATGGCTTTTTCTAAAAGCCTTTTTTTTTATCATGACATGTAGACCTTTAACAAAAAGAGACTTTAATACGTAAAAGGCTTGTAAAGGTTACTTAAAATAATGCATAATGTATTATACTTCATTATACTTTAAGTTGGATATTTATTATTTTGGTGGGGTTTTCATGACATTAGAACCCCATGTCATGGGATGACCCGGGAGTACTCTGGTGTCTCGTTCGTAAAATTGATGGTTTTTATCCCATCTAACCCCCCCGATAAACACCCCATCCCTGACCCGAACACCCCCATCTTCTTCAATTCCACCCTACAAGTTAATTTTGACTTTGGATTGCATTTGTTCTTTTGGTATATATTTAAAGTGCTTTTTTGGTGCATCTTGGTTGCATATCATTTTTGTGAATCTTCTCATATAAAATTATCTTTTTTTTATTTAAAAAAACAAATGCTTATTTAAGTAGTAAATAAATGCTTATTTTGCTCGGAATATGGCATAGTGCATAAGCATTACATTCAATATCAACTTTTCTTTAACCTAAAGTCCAAAAAGAGAAGAACCAAACAAAACCCTAAAACATGGAGCTTTTCATACACACACAAGGTAAATTAACAGAGCATTTCTCTTCTGTTTTTTTCCTTTTTTACCCTTTGAATATTCAAGCAGTTTAATTATAATATATCTAATGTAAATAAATAAAACCAAAGCGCCAGAGCTAGTGCTCCGCCGGTCAAGCATTTTCCGGTGACGGGAGGAGAGGCTGAGCGAGAGAGGGCTTATTGAAATGGCGGTTGTGCTCCGCCGTGGACTGTGTAGCCGCCGCCGCGGACCGGGCAAACTTTGCTTCTTCGTTCTTGCCCCATAAAACAAGGTATAGTCCTATTATGATCAGAACTGCTCCGATGATCCTGTCCGTTCATTTCAACCCCCCCAAAAATGATCATTAATTAGTAATTCTCCTTTTGTTTAATTTGTAAAGACTTACAGAGCTTCCGTTCTTAATTAACAGTTCATTATAAAGTTTTACACACATAATTATAACATGTGAGATATTAGCTAGTAATGTCATCTTTAATGTCATTTTTGGTGTTTTAGTATATCGTATAGTTTTATTTATTTGCTTATAGTAAAAAATGGACAAATACTCTGAAAATCGAAAAGTATATATTATTCCACTTGAATAATTGAAATAGGATGTTATATACTCCCTCCGTCCTAAAATTAACTTCTCATTTGACTTTTCACGGTCTCCAATGTGACACTTTGACTATCAATATCTCAATTTTTATATAAATATATTTTATAAAAATTATATATTTCAAAACTATGTTTCAAAATTAATCTATTACTAATAAATTTATGTGAAAATTCAATGTATTTTTTCCATAATATACGGTCAAAGTTTAAAAAATTTGACTACAAAAGTAAAACTGGGAAGGAGTATATATGGTTGATGGAAAAAGTAGTGATGGATCTATAACGAAATGATTTGGAGTGTGGCGGGTTGTCGGGGTATTGTTTCTTCCAAAAATTCAATTATTTAAATATAAAAAAATAAAAATATAAAAAATGAACAAGTATTTATTTGTCGTTAACTCATTGTGGAGATGCTCATAATATTATATACCGGAGAACCAAACAAGGAACACACATAGCTGTTTCGTACTTTAGTTTTGATGGTAGTATTGTCACAAATTTTTTTTTGAGCAAGTATTTATTTGTGACAATTTAATTGTCCAGTTAAATTATTTATGGTCTCCTACGTGAACGTTTAAAGGTTTCATCTAGCATTATACGGAGTAATACAATTTTGAAAAAAATTTTAAAAAAAGTTTATAAAAATATATGTTAAAAAATTTATTTAAATGATTTTTATATTAATGAGAAATTCAAATTTTTTAGTTATTGGTTGCAATTTATTTAGGTTGATTTTTATAGGCACTATATATTCTCCTTATATTTTATAAAAATCTTTCCTATTTATTTATGTCCGTGTCAAAGAACCAACTTAATTAAAAATTCTTGTAGCCCAGAAAATTTATATATATATTTTTTAAATTAGGTGGTACTGAGTTTCAAGTTTATGATCTCTGATCTTAGTCAACAAGAGTATAATACCATGTCAAAAAATCAATCTTACCAGAAGCTTAAGTTTATGGCAGATTTTTTTGCATATATTCTAATATTCCAAGAAATATTACAATTTTTTTTGTTATTAAAAAAACTCACTTATTCACTTTTTTTTAGACAAAAGGAGTACTCCGTGTACAGTATTATTGACTTATGTGATGATTAATGATTATGTAAACCCAAAAAGAAGAAATAATTTTAGAACTTATTTTTTTAATATAAAGATAAAAATAAAGTAAATAAGGAGAATATCTTAAACAAGTGATGTGCAGATAGTTGAAGAAAAAGACAGCCATACCCTCCCAAATAGAACTCTTCGCCAAGGGCCAGGGAAGCCATGAGCGCCACCACCAGAGTCTGGACCGGCTGGTAAACCGCCACGAAGACCGGACCCCCCCGGTCTATGCACCATATTTGTACTGCAAATGCTATTCCCGAGGCTACCACTCCCTGAACAAAGTATCAGTGCATAAATTTTTACCCTAATTTTTACCATCTGAAAGTGAAGGTGTTATCATTAAAAAAAAGTGAAAGTTTACTAAGATATCATTAAAGAAATTGGAATGAGTATATTAGATGAGGTTTGAGAAATAATAAAAAAATATTTAGGGAAATATTTTTTAAATCATTTCCCTAAATAATATTTAACCTGTTTTATTCTCTAAATAGCACTGAATAATGTCCATAATGTCTAATGATGACAAGAATTTACTTGAATAATGACTAATGGATAATGACCAAAACAGCTACATTGGAAAAAAACACATGTAATGCTATTTATGCATTACAAAGTACGGAGTAATGCATAAATTTTTACTCCCTGAACAAAGTATCAGTGCATAAATTTTTACCCTAATTTTTACCATCTGAAAGTGAAACTTTACTAAGAAGAGTAAAAAAAGTGAAAGTTTACTAAGTAAGTTAGTGTAGTTTTAGTTTTTTAAATATTTTTTTAGATCAATTTATTTAAATAAGACTAAAACATAATGACTCTGGAGTGAACTAAATAACTTACAGCATAGAAGAGGGTGAAGAGCTCGGCGCCGGAGTGAACGAGCCAAGCGTGTGGGTCCCTCTCGCAGAAGCCGGCGACGATGAGGAACTGGATGACGCCAAAGAAGCACTGGTAGGAGGTGACGGTGAGGCGGGCTGGGTACTTCTTCAGGACGGGGGCCTGGAGGACGAGCCAGCTGGCCCACGACAAACAATGACCGATCAAGAATATACACCCCAGGGTCCAGCTCTTGCCGCCGCCGCCGCCCATCACCGGCGCCGGCGCGGCCACTCCGAGCGGCGGCGCGGGGCTGTAGATCGCCGGCCCCTTGTAGAGCGTGATCACCGAAGCCCCGCAGACGCAGAACAACGTCCCCGCCACTTTCCCCACCCCGTCTTTCCTGTCCAGTCTCACCGTCTCGATCCTGAGTATGGCGGCCAAGACGAAAGTGATGGCCGGAACGGAGTTCTGAATGGCGGAGGCGAAAGTAGGGGAGGTGTTGTCCAAACCCACCAAGTAGAATCCCTGGTTTGCTGTTATTCTGGTCGCCAAGATCGAAAGTTCGTTAATTAATTCATTAATATTTTTAAGATGATATATAGTAGTCATGCAAAAATTAAAATAGAAATATTTGCACTAAATAGCACTAAAATTTAAGTCATTTCTCTAAATAGCACTTAAGTTGTTTTATTCCCTAAATAGCACTTAATAATGTCCATAATGACCAGCGATGGTAAAGATTTACTTAAATAATGACTAAAAGTACTACATTAGGAGAAAAAAACATTGGTAGTGCTATTTAGAGCACTGGTAACACCCCTCACGCCCACCGGCGTTACGGGCGTTTAACGCCCCGGGGGCGTGAAACACCGCCCCCCGCCGGCGTGAAACGGGCGTGAGGGCGCCTGCGTCAAACGAATGACGCGGCGTGGAAAATGCGCTGCTCCCTCCTAACGGCTAAAAAAGCCGTTGCACCCCAAATTAAAAAAAAAAAAAAAATTCCTATAAATTCAACCCTCCCCAACCAATCTCTCACACCTTCTCTCTAATCTCTTCTTCTTTCTTATTTTAAAATTTCAAATTTCAAATCCCTCCTCCCAATTTTCAACATGAATCCTTCCGGCTCCGGCTCCGGCTTCGATCCCGACAATCTCCCCCCGAGTGACGCCGCGATGTGGTTCTACCAAGAGTGGGCGCGATCGATCGCCGATATACGAGACGCAACAATCGGGGTACGTCGACCGAGATTTGGTTCCGGAGACTCAACCGGAACCGTCCGGATCGAAAAAAAGTACACGCCGGAGGAGCCACAAAGCCAAAAGCACGTTGACCGATGCGGCACGGTCAATCCAAAAGTGGACGCCGGAGGAGGAGTGCATATTGGCGTCGGCTTGGGTTGACGTCTCCGAGCATCCTATCATTGGTAAAAAAATTGTTTTTTCTAATATATTTATATTTTTATTTATATATATTATATTTAATGGTGTAAAAAAAATTGTGTAATACTTTTTTAAAGGTACGGAGCAAACGAAGGATGCGATGTGGGATCGTATCGAGGAGAAGTTCTTCACGGCGATGAAGAAGGACGGCTCCTACCGAACCCGTGACCAACTCACTTCCAAATGGAGCCACATCAACAAAAAAGTACGAAAGTTTATGGGAGTATACGAGGAATG